AAATTCTAATGATTTATTCCTATCCCAATAAAGATATCTCTGGAGGTGTGACATTTCAGTGTGTCATGGTGACATTCCTCCATCCTTTGAATTCAATGTTTAGTTCTCTATCACTCATTATTTGCCAACACATGACATCAATTATATTGTAGAAATGTGTTACATTTCCAAATCATAAAAAAGCTAAGTTTTAAATTATGTAAAAAATTAAGATGCTGAGGGAAGGTGATCTGAAATTTCTATAATTTAGAAGCTCAAAGGCAACATCAAGGATTCATTTTCTCTACTTCTTTCTACGTGGCTATACATACTATATTGGCTTTACTATTAAACTAGCTGACATAATGGTTCCAAGATGGCCATAGCTGCTGTGAATTTCACATCTAAACCTGACAAAGTGTTTCTTAGGAACAAAAATTCTTTTCCTCGAATTCCTCCAGAAGACACCCCTCCCCAGTGAGTCACTGACCAACACTGCATTATCAGCTGATGTTTGTATCAGACACGGGTGAAAGATTGCTGGATCTTCTGGAGGTACAAAAGACACTAGTAATTCTATAAATGGCCTTCTGCTAGAAAAGAAGGTGATGATGATGAGCTGAAACTAGTGATATTTTCCTTCAGGTCTGAAATAATTTACTTCTCTCATGTCTGGAATTTTCCCAAACAGACAGTAGCTTCTTTGAGCCATGTTTCTGGTTTTTTCTGATTCAGCCTTGAACCTACCACATTGCCTCACATAAAGTAGCTGCTTTGTAAAGATATGATCAAATGTTAGTTTTATGGGATTCTCTGTAGCCACAACAATAATGCCCCTAGAGACCTTAGGGGAGACAAAGTAATTATTGACATACATAGAATCCAGGCCTCCACATCCTCAACAGTAGGATTTTTCTTTTTAGAGAAGCATTCCTCTGTGCGTTCTTCATGGTAAACCATCGATCACTGTATTAACTTGATGAAACAACAACTCTCTGCACTTTTGACTTGCTGGTTAGAGGGCCAAGACTCCTTTTGTGCTGTGCTGAATCTTTCAGAAACATCCTAAATTGAACAGAATGGTGCTCAAGACTAAAGCTATGTCTTTAGTTTTAAATTTATGACGCTAGTATACTTTGGCCTCAACTATTTCCATATTTTTCCTTAATTTTTTTGTTTTTTACGTACTGACTGAACACGTGCCTTTATTTTGATGAATATCTAAAGTTCCATTGTTAGAAACTCATCTCTTTACATTAATAGGCTTCTGCTTTTTACTATACCCAAGACTGTTAGCAGATACAGACAAGGAGCTGTCATCATCCACTTTAGAAGGAATGCATTTAAACTGATGCATTCACTGACTCTTGGTGTTGAAATTTACCTGTCTTGTGTTCATCTCACAAGGAGGTACAGGCAACATTGGAATTTTAATTCATTAGGAGATGGGGAGGCAGTGATAATATTTAAGTAATCACTTCCAAACAAGACTGTATATCAGAAATACAGGAGTATTTTTAACTATAAAATCTTGAGTTCCAGTCCATAAGTTTAAGTGACAGAGGCTCAAAGAGGCTCACAAGCCACAGCAAAACTTCACTGGTGTTAGGCAGGTAGAGCTGGTAAGCCATGATGGGGTTGTTCACCTTATCAGAAGATGGACTAAGGATGTTGAGGGGTGGAGAATGAGAGGAAAGAAGTGGTTTACACTGAATTCCAGAAAGAAGAGATTACTTGAAGTTTTTCTGTTTGCTACAGAAGAAAAACTGCCCTGCTTTACAATTATGTTTAGTGATTTTTTTCTAAAAGTGAATGGTCAATTGCAAGGAGTTGAGAGAAAAAGCAACAAGGCAAAGATATAGTCTGGCAAACGTTTTAACTATAGTACCATCGAGTCTAGTTAGAACACAGAATGGTGCATATAGCTATAGTTATAGGGCTTTGGAGTATATGTGTGTGCCATGTATGGTGTATGTGTTTTTGTGCAAGAAAGAACAGGGTAAACAGAACCTGTAGAACGAAGAGGACGTTCCAGCATAGAAATCTGCAAACACCAGCCAGGAATGGGACAAAGAGACGAGCCTTTGATGAAGATGGAGAGAGAGGACAGATAAGGAAGAGAAAATCAGAAAAAGAACCGAGGCAGAAGTAGAGGGTATTTCAGGAGGAAATGAAATATTAAAAGGAAGACTTTTTATTTGAGGGAAATTAGAATATATACAGACTAAACTGGAGTTATATTAGGGAAAGAAGGTTGATCACTCAGAAAGCTCCAGAGACAGTGAGAAGAGGTGAAAATCAGCATCCAGGTGGAAGGGTTACTTGGTGTGTTAACTTACTGGAGAGCTTATATGATGAGATTCTTTTGGCAAGAGTGGCCTTTTGTCTAAGGACTTTTAGTTTGTTTACCAATTATCTAGACCCCTTGCAACCTCTCTTTTTCCATCCTCAATCTTCTGGTAAATTGTAAAAGCAATAAACATGGAAATAAACTATGAATACAGCATAGCTTAAAGCATATATGAGGTGTGTGGAAGCAAATTTGAATCTGGGTTAAAATAAGACTTGTGGGTATGTTTTTAGGTAATCTAAGTGTATGCAAGAGAGAATACAAGATGTATAAACACATATATATTTAACATTCTAACTTTTGGATGTGTTTATCCCAACACAATTCTCTATGCATATAATTTATAAAGGATTATGTATGTGTGTGTTTGGTGATGAAGAAAGTTCAAAAATTTTACATACATGATATTTTATACCATACATGATACAAAACTTTTCAATATGAAGACTTAGCAATTTCAAGTGTTCATATCAACCGAGATACACAAGTTATCAAAAAAGAATGTTGCTTCTTTAAAGAGCTAAATTGATATCACAAATGACAATGCTTTATTATAATCATTTTAAGTTGAGAGAAAACTTGTTCCTTAAATATGAAAATAAGTGGACCAGGAAGAGGAAATAAACACATGGAACATTTTTACAGATGTCATTTTAAATCACCTCTATTTGCTTGCCTTGAGCTGTCCTTATTAATGAAATGCAGGTTGAGTCTAAACCTGACTTCATGCCCTACAGCAACACATTCCACTGATGTGTGTCTCACTGTTCTGCATAAAACAAGTCTCAACATTTCAAAGATCAGAAAAAAATGATGTTAAGTTTCTGTGGCTGCTTTTAATACCTGTAAATAAAGAAGATGAAAAACATGGATTATATTTCTATGAGCTCTTAGGAAAGCTGTAACATTCCAGGGACTGATTTTCAATGTCAAATCTACCTCTGTCCACCATCCATGAACTACAGTCAATGGTCTCTAAAAACAACTCATATGTCCTCAGGGGCGAAAAAATGCATGAAGCATGAAGGAAGAATACTATGAATGTTTTTAAAATTGTATTTCACTAAAAGACACGTTGTCATTAATCTCCCTCAAGCTACTGCCCTGGCTTGGAACACATTTATCTTACTGTTCTTGTCACTTTCTGAAGCAACTTTTGAAGTCCTCTTTCTTGAACGGATATGTTTGTTTTGTTGTGGTGGCCTCAGTATCCTGAACCATTTCAAAACATTTACCTTTCATGGTCATTTTGACTCTGGGGGAGAGCCGGAAGTCACATAGTGCAGTTCCAGGGAACAGGGTGGGTGGGGACACCCCAGAATGTCTCACAAGCCTGCCTTTCTGTTGGATGGCCCTGGGCAGCAGCATTCACCGTGCTTTCTATTGCACCTCCTAAAAGCACCCACAAAAGGAGACATCCAGAATCGCGTCAGGAAGTGGCAAGAATGATGGGAAAACGTTGGAAACAAGGGAGAATCACTTTGTGGGGAATTCATGCCAGTCCGACGTTCACTGCAAGAAGTTTTTAAAATGTAGACATCTGCTGTGTATTTGGGTCATATCTCTGACACAAGTTAGACAGCAACCTAATGATGACAGTACCTCTGGGTGGTGGATAGGCATACTACCTCTCTTTTATCTCTGACCTACAGAAACTATTGCAGGCTGGACCTGGACTAAATTTCTTCCAGCCTGAAGAACAGGACCAGGAGAAATGTCAGCCCCAAAGCAGCAAAGTTTAAAATATTTTATCTTGTTTGAAAAAACACTCGAAAATCAAGACCATTTTTGTTTTGGTTTAAAAGCTGTTCAGTCTACAACATTCAGTAATAACCCCTCCCCTACAATAAACTAAACTCCAGCACACACTTGGCTGGGGATAAAGGCTGGGAGGAGGTCTTCTGATGGTCTCGTGCAGCGTAGCGGAGCGTCCCACTCGCATTTCCCCCCACATAGTGCCAAAGAAGCCAAGCACCGAGGGCTTCCCCAACTACCCCTCAGCTGGAGCAGCTGCTCCTTGGCTAATTTTCCACATACGGAGCCTAAGAGCAACAAAAGGGAAAGAAAGCACTGGCCTATGTTCACATTCTTTGAATGTTACAACAATAAGAGGAAGGCAGAAGGCAAGGAAGGATCCCCCTCTGCCAAGGACTTAAGAGGCCCTTGCTTTTTCTGTTTACCATGGAAAGAGCAGTGCCGCTTCCTGGAATAAGAAATGGGGACTTTCTTCACATCCTTGAGTTGAAAAATAAGCATTTCAGAGTCTCTCTCAAAGCCAGCAGGCTTTGCTGGGAAAGCCTGCTGCTGCTCTGCACGGGATCCAGGCGCGGCACCTGTGTCATCAGCCAGGGGAAGTTGGGCTGCAGCCCTCAGGGTCTCGGGACCGCCCACCGAGCCTCCCCGAAACACAAGCGCCGCTGAAGGGACAGAGCTACTTCGAATGATGTTTGCAAAATAAAAGAGAGGGAGAGAGAGAGAGAGAGACAGGGAGAGAGGGAGACAGGGAGAGAGTGACTCCCCAAGCAGCTCCGCGTGGCTGGGATCCCGGGTCCACGTGGAACCGGAGCACAGACTCGGCTGCCAGCTGCTCCCGGCCCGGCAGATCCCTTCCCCATGTCCCCGGACCCACTCAGGTCCCTCAGCGCAGAGGCACAGCCAGCGCCGGACTCACCCTGACTGAGCGCTAAAAGCAGCCACAGAGACAGAGGCGCCCTCTGCGCTGGACGCATCCTGGGACTGTCCTGGTGGCGGGAGGTGTTCTGAGTTTGCAGGAAACTTGCTGGGCGGAAAGAGATGACAGCTTGCAGACTCCTAAAGCTGTCGGGAGGGCTCCCACTCTGCTCAGTGAGAGCTTGGAAAAGTTGCTGGAAGCTCCTGCAGCGCTGGGCCCGCCTCTCCCGCCGAGGGAAAAAAAAAAAATCAGATTTGCCTGCCACGCCCCGCCGAGCCCAGCCCTGCAGCCCGTGGCTGCAACCTTCGCGGCAGCGCACCCCAGCAGCACCTGGCTGCCCCCACTCGGCCCAGCCAGGCATCCTGCGGGTGACGGGGATGGAGACAGAGCGTCCCGAGCCAGAGCACCAGCAGGGTCACAATCCGAGTTCCCAGGAGACCCGCAGTCCCTGCCCAGCCCTCTGTGGCTGTAGGCCTGAGAGTGGGGGTGCGGTGGAGGGACCAAACAGCTATGCATCCGCTTCTCTGCCTACCCTGAGGGGGCGGAGAAAGGAGCAAAAATAAGTCTAGAATGACTAGGTTAGAAACGAACTCATGAGGAAGATCTGCTCTCAGGTTATGATTATCCTAGGTGCTATTTAAACAAGGCCTGCTGCAAAAGCAGTGTAAACACGTGTGTGTGTGTGTGTGTGTGTGTGTGTGTGTGTATAGAGATAGAGAGAGAGAGACAGCGACACACACACAGAGAGAGAGAGAGAGAGAGAGAGAGAGAGAGAGAGAGAGAGAGAGAGAGAGAGAGAGAGAGAAATCACCATTCATTTCTCCTGGAGAGCAAAAGTGCTGAACTGATTACTGAATTTCAGCGATTTATTTCAAGACAGGTGGGAAGTGTGAGAACCCCTAGATGAACTCAGTACTCTTCATCTTAGTTTATCTTACAATGCGACCACCTTCTTCCACGCTTTCAGTCAGTTCTGAAAAGAGAACATACTGTAAATACATCTGAAACAGTTGATTTACAAACCTAAGAAAAGAAAATTCATTTTTCATTTTCATTTCTTTAAATCTGATTTTTCCTCCAAAAGCTCACCTATAAATTCCCAGCAAGTTGCTTAAAGCCAGAATTGTTCCAGTGACCACTTTCAGTGAAGTAATCATGTGTTCTCATGCATGAAAGAGTTGTTTACATAATCAAGATTAGTAGCACCATTCTGAGTCCTTACAGAGTGGCAGCTACTAGCAGAAATGGGGAGCCTGGGGGATTGTTAATAGTGCATCTGGTTCCAGGTGAGAGCAACTTAATTAATCAGTGAAAAACAAAAGCTTTTAAAAATATATTTAACCATATGTAGGACTGAAGTCTTGATTTCTTAAAGTGTTAAACTGACATCTATCAAATGTTACTACTTATGGTCATGACTGTAAATCCAACACCCTTGAATCCAAAATACATAGCCCCAGGGCCTTCCTGTTTTCTTATACATCACTTACTAATTTTTTTAGGAACTCTGACAACACTCAAAGGTATTTTTCCTGACCGTCTGTGGCACTTGCTTGCTTACTAAAACACCAGCTACACCTGAGAAATCTCAGGTGGCGGCTCACTAACTCTGACACATAGCCTCAGCTCAGTACAGATTTCTTGTGGGAAGTGAGCCAGGTTTCAGGGAGATGAATATCTGTCTGTTTCCATCTGACTCACTGAAATGTGAGTAAGAGTTTGGAACAGACCCTTGTTTGGGAGACAGAATAGTTCCTTAATGTGCTTTGTCTCTGGGTGCTGGAGAGTAAAATGAACCTTTTTTGCATTTGTTCTCAAAACTGGACAGATTAATGTTACACAACCATGAGGTGCATAATAGATCAGGAGCTGTATTTTTTAGGAGTAAGCCGAAATTTTAGGGGAAAAAAAAGCAAATTCTTGCCTCACACAAATTTAAAGATCATAAAATATTCTGGAGACAACCGCTTGACATCCCCTGCCTCCTTCCTCCTAAGAGCTCCTCCTAGCAGCCAGGTGTATGTGCCGGACATCACACTGTGAGCAGGAAATAAACAAAGCTAGGTCAGGTTTCTCAGCCCTGATCTCAGGAGTGCTGTATACTTCAGACTACTTCAGAACTTTTGTGCCTATGGACTATTCCTATTGATACTTACTATTGAGAAATTAAAACAGATCATTTTTCAGATGCTTATAATTAATCAATAATTACATAATAGTTACCCCATTACATGTTAACATACCAGACATTTTATGAAAAATAGGTACATCCTTAGGATAAAACAAGCTATGAAAAAAGTAGAATTGTACATTTTTGCCAGTTTTTCTAACACTTGCCTTTAAAAAATACACAATTTTATTCCCATACCCTGCTTCTGGCAATCTGGCTCTTGTGATAGGTAGTTTTGGTTGAATTGTGAATTAATGTGGAGTCACTTACGTATGCAGGTAGAAAAATAAAAGATAATTTTTGGATAATCCTCCGATACTACACCAAAACTCAACAAGTGGTAACTTCTTGAAGTCCAGTTGAAATCTGAAATCTGAAATCATATCAATACTTTTCCTACTTTGTAGCCTGAAAAGTTTTGGTTTACTGACTTCCCCCCATGCTCAAAGGTTACTAATGCCTGTCATTTTTTTCTTTGTAGTGGGTAAGAAGTTAAAGACAATGACAATGGCTCAGGGTTATTAGGAAAGTAACTTTGACATCATGGAGCACTTGCTAAGTCTTAGAACAGAGACCGCACTCTAAAACCACTGAGGAAAGGAAGCAGGCCCGTGTCTCTTTCCCTTCTCTTGGCTCCAGGCAAGAGTATCAGATGACTTTTCCCCAGTGTTCTCTCTTATCTACATGGCCTGCTCTTCTTTGCTTATTTCACCTCCACAGATACAATTGCCTAAACTAGAAGCCCCTGCTTTCCTCCCTAGGGCCACCACTAGCCCTTCCTGCTGCCACGGCAACTGTCTGTATCCTTTGTCAAAGTTGTCTGCACACTGTCTTGTGTTCTCTTCTGATCATTCACTACCATGATATCTCATATGTAATCTCACTATCTCTGGTCTATCCTTTGTACTCACAGTCACAATTCTCTTTCTAAAATACACATTTGATCTTCTGAATATATATATATATATATATATATATGATAAACTGAGCATTTAAAGTCCCAGCTGAGCCCTAACCCATATTCTATTTCCATATTCTATTTCACTATTTTTCTCTAGATAAAACTATATTTAAGCTGAATTCACCTTTTCACTAGTCTACCTCTCCTATTTTCCTTGTTATTTCATAGATATTTTTCTGTTTATGGCTTTCTCATTTAAATGCTGAATCTCTGGAATTCTTTTTGCTTATATCACAAGTGTCTATTCTGTCCTTCGTAATAATAATTCCTAGTAAATAGTTACCATGTAAAAATGAATTGCTTAACAGTCTAGACCTGAAAAGGATTGTGAATGTGAAATTCTATGTAAGTCCTGGAACTTTTGAAATGAGGTAAGCAGTGACTCCTCAAATGGTACTATGTGAATCTAAGACATGACAGACCGAAGTTCAGGGCCCTTTGAATCTGACTCACCCACAGTTCTCCAGGAACTGAGTCATATGTAATGTCTCCAAATAAATAAATAAATTAAAGGGGACTTCTAATTTAAAAACAAATAAAATAGAAAGACAAAAATAAAACATTTCTTGGCTCCCCACCTCGATCCATCAATACACCTACAGATTTCTTTTTAATCCTTTTAGCCTTATTAGACTTGATTGCTCTTACTTGGTTTTTGTTGTATAGCAGATATGCCAAATAATGGCCTGCTCTGCATATGGGGCTTTCTCAGACCCCCCCCCTCCACCCCGCCAGAAGTCATTGAGTAGACACATAACCCTGCCTTACAGTCACTGCAGCTGACATCCGATCCAAGCTGGATTTGATTCTTTCCTCCAGGGATATATATTCAGGACTTAAGGATTCTAGAGTCTTCAGACCACATGAACTAGGAATCTATGTTCATTTTGCAAAATATTTTATTTAATAAATACAGACAGACAATCTACAGATTTCTGTATAAATACAGAAAAAGTTATTTAGACAAAAGAGCACTTAGACTGAGAAACCAGGCTGGTGGTGGGAAGAGTTGCTTTACTTCTCTGTCCTCTGTTTTCTGTTTTCAGTCACTTGGAAGATCTAGCTGGCCTTCCTACTTTTAATTTTATGAAGTATCCCTGTGCCCTCCTATCTTCTCATTCTCTCTTAAAAATTGAGCAAGTTTCTATTTCTTGTACTAGACTGTCTTTAAGATAAATATCTTGCCTTGCCCTTAAACATAGTGAACATGTCTCATTAACTGCTAAACTCATACTAACAGAGCCCAACACCAAGTTAGTGCCCAATCAGTGTTCATTATAGATGAATATATTTGTTCAACAAATACATTTGTTCAACTAATGTCTAATTTCTTACTTTAAGATGAACCAGAGAAAAGGAGTTTATCTCTTACAATGTGGAAAAGCTTAAAAAAGGGAAAATTATTCATATGCTATTGCAATTTTTTAAGGAAAAGAATTGTGCCTTATGATGGATCACCGCGGCTGTGGCTATCTGCTTTTCTACTGCCTCTGTATAATTTGAATATTTTTGTTACTTTCTGAGCAAGAAAAATAACACCTACTTAAACTATAAAGAATGGCACCTTATACTGTAGACCATATCCCAAAACAACAGGCAAAACTTGACTCTCAAACCCGACAGAGAAATAAATGTGGCTTTTTGTGTTTTCAAAAACAGAGGTAGCAGTGACACTTGGAGTTCTGAGACAGGTAAACCGACACAAGGTGGAGCTGTCTGCCCCCCCCCATGCCTCAAATGCAGCAGAGGGACATTGGGCAAGAAAGTGCCCCATGGTGGCTTTCCTTTGGGACCTTACCCCAGGGCTACTGGACTGTCCTAGCCCCCAGAGAGTGGGTAAGCCATCCTAACTTCTAGCCCTCACAGCAAATGCCAACACTGCCAGATTCATCGCTGACAGATCTGCTTAAACTTGCTGCTGAAGACTGACGGGGCTCAGAGCCAACAACAGCCCATTTTAAGGTGTCTGTCTCAGAGTCCCAAGTCCCACTAGAGGTCTCAGGTAAGACATTCTGTATACTTGTGGACATAGAGGCCAGATATATAAAGTTCTTCCTGAGTTTTCAAGCTGCTATATTGTCCTCAGTCTCTATAGGGGGTATTGATGGCCAATCTATGCCATTTACAGACAGGGCCTATTTCATGCAGGTTCCAGACTGCTTCTTCCCAATCCACCCAGTGATGCCAAATCTTCCCTCCATCATTCACTTTTCAGTCCTAAATTTTAAAAATGCTTTTTATTCCCTTGTATTTCTGAAGATTGACCCAGACTCTGAAGTCTCAACAGCTTACACCTGTTATTGCTAGTAAACCTCTCCTTAGGGATATATAGTACCTCCTTCCTTTCTTATTCTCCAATTTCTCAGACATAACTTT